TTTCTTCAGAAGATTTTCTGAAGAAGGGTCTAGGCCCGAAACGTCAGCCTTCCTGCTCCTCTGATGCTGCTTGGCCTGCTGTGTTCATCCAGCTCTACACCTTGTTATCTCAGTGTCTTTCTTTAAACTGTTTGTATCCCTCTCACAACATCCTTTCCACCTATGTTTGTGTTGACTGCAAATTTGACTACTACTGCTTTCTTCCTCCAAGTCATTTATATATATTGTAAATAGTTGAGTTCCCAGCACTAATCCCAGTGGAACCCCACTGGTCACAGGTCACCAATCTGAAAAAGAACCCCTTATGACTTCTTTCTGCTTTCTACCTATTAGCCAATTCTCTATCCATGTCATTGTACTACTTAAAACATCATGCACTCATCTTCTGACTTAACCTTTTGTATATACCTTGTCAAATACCTTTCGGAAGTCCAAATATATCACATCTCCTGGTTCCCTTCTATCCACTCTGGCTGCGTCTTCCTTGAAGAATTTTAATAAATTAATCAGACATAATTTCTCTTTCATAAAGACATGCTGACTTTGTTTAATTAGATTATGATCTTCCGAATATTTAGCTATTACCTTCTCAATAATTGGTTCCAATAATTCTCCAATGATAGATGTTGTGCTAATCAGCCTATAGTTACCCACATTTTGCCTCTCTGCCTTTTTGAGTGGGGTGTCACATTAGCACTTTCCACTCCTCTAGTACTTCTGCAGGATCCAAGGATTTTTGGAAAGTTACAACAATGCAAGCACTATTTCTGTAACTACCTCTTTTAGGCTTTTAGGATGAAAGCCGTTATGGCTGAGGGGCCTATTTGCCTTTGTCTAATACTTCTCTAGTGATGGTGATGGCACTTAATTCCTCCCCCATATTCTTTAACATTAATGGGATATTCAAAGTATCTTCAACCTTGAAGACTGATGCAAAATATTTGTTTAACTCCTCTGACTTTTCTTTGTTCCCCATAACAATCTCCCCCGTTCAAGTAATGAGATCCAAATTCCAATTCTTAAGCTCAGTTCACAAATGTGGGCTGCTATGAGGTAGACTCTGCAAAAGGCATCTCAAAAGATTTTAGTTGTTTTCATTTGAAGAAGCAAGTGTTAAAACTAAAAGTTTAAATTTAAGAGTTCAGAAAGCCAATTTAATCTCATTCAATTTTGTACAAATTTTTGTTTGAATAAACTTGAATTACTCTTAGCCTGAGTAAATTTTTGATGATTATTACCGATTATGTTATTGGCAGGTAGAATGTTTGGCAAAGTTTTGGAAGTGGTGAGAGTGTGTGTGTCTTGGGGGGGAATTGAAAGTGGGCAGATGGGAGGTGTGGCAGGAGGGTGCAGTGTAGCTTTATTTAGAACATAAGAACTAGGAGCAGGAGTAGGCCATTTGGCCCCTCGAGCCTGCCCCGCCATTTAATAAGATCATGATTGATCTTTTTGAGACTCAGCTCCACTTACCTGCCCGCTCACCATAACCCTTAATTCCTTTACTGTTCAAAACTTTATCTAGCCTTGCCTTAAAAATATTCAGCGAAGTAGCTTCAACTGCTTCACTGGGCAGGGAATTCCACAGATTCACAACCCTTTGGGTGAAGAAGTTCCTCCTGACCTCAGTCCTACATCTGCTTCCCTTTATTTTGAGGCGATGCCCTCTAGTCCTAGTTTCACCTGCTAGTGGAAACAACCTCCCTGCCTCCACCTTATCTATTCCCTTCATAATCTTATATGTTTCTATAAGATCTCCCCTCATTCTCCTGAATTCCAATGAGTATAATCCCAGTCTACTCAGTCCCTCCTCATAATCCAACCCTCTCAACTCTGGAATCAACCGAGTGAATCTCCTCTGCACCCCCTCCAGTGCTAGTATATCTCTTCTCAATTAAGGAGACCAAAACTGCACACAGTACTCCAGGTGTGGCCTCACCAGGACCCTATACAGCTGCAGCATAGCCTCCCTGTTTTTAAACTCCATCCCTCTCGCAATGGCAGACAAAGTTCCATTTGCCTTTGTAATTACCTGCTGCACCTGCAGTCATACTTTTAGCGATTCATGCACGAGGACATCCAAGTCCCTCTGCAATTTTGTACCATTTAAAACGTAGTCCATTTTGCTGTTATTCCTACCAAAATGGATGATCTCACACTTATCAACATTGTACTCCATCTGCCAGACCTTTGCCCACTCACTTAGACTATCAATATCCCTCTGCAGACTTTCAGCATCTTCTGCACACTTTGCTCTACCACTCACCTTAGTGTCATCTGCAAATTTTGACACACCACACTTAGTCCCCAACTCCAAATCATCTATGTAAATTGTAAACAATTGCAGTCCCAACACTGATCCCTGAGGCACACCACTAGCCACTGACCGCCAACCAGAAAAACACCCATTTACCCCTACTCTTTGCTTTCTACTGGTCAACCAATCCTCTATTCTCTATTTCTCGAGCATTTCAAAGCAATAGAAAGGTTCACTATTCACCCAGTGGCAGTGCCATGTTGAAGGTTTAGTCAGTAACATCAGGGTTCAGTCTTTGGCAGGAGCTGATTTCCCTATGGAAGCTAACTTTTGCAATGTAAGTAAAGTGCTGGGAAGTAACCCAAGCTAAAACATGTCATCACTTCATTGTTCCAGTTTGGATTTGTTAAATCTTAATAAAACTGCTATAAAAATCATCAACTGAATATTCTTTTGGAATTTATAGGCTTAATTTTCCTTTTAAATGCTAATATCATCTTTCTCAAAGTGAAGACTTCAGACTCAAATAGAATAAAGTGCTATTTTTGCAAAAGTGCCGAGAAATATCAGCGTTCAGTTTGATGTGAATTTCTGTTTTATTAATTTCACACAATTATAACAGGATTTTGATGTGGTGGGGGAGGAAATGGCCATCAGAGTTCAGCCTGAGATTGAAAGCATTTCCTCCCTACATTGAGAAAGGAGCAGGTGGAGGAATATTAAAATATAAGCTGTCCTTTGTGGTCTCTCGGAGGGAAATATGAAGTTTATTAAAAGTGTCTCTTCTTTTCATACAAAATGGATGTGTAGTTGTTGTTGCTAAATCCTTGAGTAGTTTCTCTGTTCACCTTTTTCTGCAATATATTGTCATAGAAATTTCATATTTCTGATTAGGGAGGGACAAAATCAGTCCGCTCACAAAATTTAGGGCAAAATGGTGTCGGCCATGACGCCCTTGCTCATAGTTTTAGTTTTGCACTTTATGGAAAAGTTCTCTGATTCTCTGCTTTCAGCAAGACTCAGTAAAAAAGAGTATGGAATTCAAAGCAAATATCTGGCTTTCTGTCCCATAGTCTCTTTGAGCACTCTGCCAGCTTGGAGCACAGGGTCAGTGAATTTATGCTTCTGTGTGTAAAGGCTCAACATTCAATTGAATAAATGAATTGTTTACTATTTTGCAGCATCTCCCTCAAGGAGCTGAAGATCATGCTACCTCAAGTAAACTTCAGAGTGCCGAATGTGAAGTTCCTTAAGGACAAGATGGGGGTATTTATCCTTTAAGCTAATTGACAATTAAGTTTTCATGATCATTTCTAACCTGAAGTTAAGTATTTTTCATGTCAATATCTTCATTCCAAGAATGCTCTGGGTCAGAAATTCTGCGTTCAAGTCTCACCTATCTTGGACATGTGTCATAACAAGTAGAAACAGGTTGATTAACAAGTAACTTCAAAGAGTTTTATTCTGTTTACGCCCATTTAAAATGTATGCATTGTATCTCTTTAAAAATATGTGTACCTTAAGTTTCCTTTCCAGAAGCAATAAATCCTGCACAGAAATGCAAAGTTGAGTGACAATTGTCCCTGTAGACAGAAGTTTGATTTCTTTTCCAGTGGCTTCAGATCAGAGCTAAAATCTCTAACAGGATGTTTTGTTTGTTCTGCTTACAAGCTTAAGAGCAATGAAGACCCTGTTTGGGGCATTATTCATATAACCGATGCTCCTCTCCATTGAATTGCACTTAAATAGTCCAGTCATTGTTTGCCTTTACTTTGAATTGAGGTAAACTACCACAATTACAGTTAATGCTGGAAAGATTCCATAACTGATGGCATTTGTTTGTGTTCAGTGCATTGGTTCAGAGCACTCAGAACTGGAAGAGGGCTCAGAACTATCATAGCTGACATTTCCATGAAGCCACATCGGTGTGTGGGCCATGCAGAAAACTGGAAGCTACCATGCAGAGCAACAAATGTTCTCTTTAAGATGAGCACTTGCACTCTGGCCCAGCAATCTTAATAGCACTGCACTGCACAATGAACAAGCCATGCCCAACAAAAAAAAAATGAGAGGGAACATTTCCTCACAGCTGGTAACATCTCACTCCTACAAAATGCAAACACTACCTCAAGCAGCTACCTGAATATAACTGCAGATCTGTGCATTCAACAATGAAGATGCTTCATTGGTAAAAAAAAATTGTCAATGGAACATTATTTTGGAATTAAAATCTATAGGCGTAATTTTCCAATTACATCTGCGCGGAATTTGCAGCTGTTCAAACCAGTTTCTCGGGTGACTGCAGCTGTATATGAGATACACCAGCATCAGGAGGAACAGCAGTAATCCTACTCTGAAAGCGGAGGACAGTGATTCAGTTAGTGCTTTAGCCTGTGGGAATTCCAAACCTCTTATGCCTCCCTCCAAAGAACAAAAAGCCAACCATAACAGCTTCCTGCACTGTGACACCCAACACAGCTGAAGCAACCACCTACTAAAATCATGTTGTGATTCTACCCTTAGACTTTCAGAATACCATTTGCATGATGTTGGCATGTACCTGGCAGACCTACCGGTCCATGGTTCTTGTCAGCTCTTCCACAATGAGGAGCATTCTCACATTGGTGTTAAATCAAAGCTAGCACTCTTACAGTGCTCTGAACAACCGATTGATCTTGTCCTGTCCACAACAGGTTCCAACAGCGTCTGTTTGTGCAGATATCAGCAGATCTCTACCCAGTATAGTTGTTGCAGCAAGTGGCACAAACCATTACAAAGTGCTTTCTGACCTCATTGTAGACTGCTTCCTGTCTGTGTGCTTCATCACAGGATGCTATTTTTGAGAGGTTGTTGAAGTGGTGTATCTAGAACTATAAAATGAACCCCTTAGGAAGTGAGCAAAGTATATTTCTTTGTATGGGTAGTAGGCAAAATTGTTCCTCCTTTATCCATTCTCTACAGTTGTTCCAATGCCTTAAATGCTTTTCACATAATTCTAAGGACTGCCATGGAACGTCAATGATGTATTAATACCATTACTATGAACAACGTAAGAAGCATTAAGCCCAGGCAATTTTTAATACTCTTGTGAGAGTAACGGATAACTTCATCATTAATCTGTCCATTACTACACAAATCACACCATTAAGAATACATTTAAGATATTAGCCTTGAAATTACACTCTGGATTGGCATTCAAAAGCATAGTACATTTATTTCAGTCATATGTCTGCAATTTTATTGGTTAGAGTAACTCATTTATTTTAATACGTGGGAGCTGGGGTCAGTGCAAGTCCTTAGATTACCCTTTTCCTTATTTTTAATTCATTCATGGGATGTGGGTGTTGCTGGCCAGCATTTATTGCCCATCCTAATTGCCCAGAGGATATCTATGATTCAACCACATTGCTGTGCATCTGAAGTCAAATGTAGGCCAAACCTAAAATGCATCAGTGAACCAGATGGGTTTTTACAGCAATTGACAATGGTTACCCAGTCACCATTTAGACTGGCTTTCTATTCCAGATTTTCACTGACTTCACATTTCACCATCTGCCATAATGGAATTTGAACCCACATCTCCAGAATTAATTAGCTTGGCTAGTAGTCTTCTGACATTGGGTGGCATGGTGGCACAGTGGTTAACATTCCTGCCTCACAGTGCCAGGAACCTGAATTCAGCTTCCCCTGTTGAGTGACTATCTGTGTTGTGCCTGCACATTCTCCCTGTGTCTGTGTGGGTTTCCTCCAGTTGCTCTGGTTTCCTCCCACAGTCCAAAGCTGTGCATGTTAGGTTGGTTGACCATGCTAAATCACCCCATAGTGTTCAGGGATGTATAGGTAGATCTATGCCATGGGAAATACAGGGTTACAAGGATGGGGTGGGTCTGGGTGGGATGCTGTTTGGAAGGTCGTGTGGGCTGAATGGCCTGCTTCCGCACTGTAGTGATTCTATGATTATGCCTATGTCACCACCTCCCTAGTTGTTATATATGATCACTATTAAATTTAATCAGGAGAATCCTTTAGATCTTGGTGACTTTCACCTTTACAGAAGTACTTTTTTTTTAAGAAACTCCTGATGGTCTTTTGTTTCTTTATATATTCCAAATGCTCAGTACGACTTTAATTGACACTGGTAATAAGATGTTGCCAGCTTTGGTTGTTGAAGGAGAGAAGGACCTGGAAAGAGTGTATTCATTTAAAAATGAATGCTCTCCAGCCGCTAGCTAAAATTTTTTAAAAGATGCAAAAGCAGAGAATTACAAATACTGGAAATTCAAAGTTAAAATAGAATATAAAATACTAAAAAGTACTCAGCAGGTCAAGCTGCATCCAAAGAGAAAGAGAAAAACAATATTAACATTTCAGGTCATTGACTTTTCATCTGAACAGTGTTGAACTGATCTGGTAGACAGTCCCTTCCAAACAGTAGCATGTTTCCCACACCCATGGCAGCTGCAATAACTCAGGTTATGGGACAGGCTGTGTGCACATCCTGGAGCAGCCCCAATCTCTTTGATTGAAGTCAGCAATTTGCACCCACTGAGGATACTGTTTGGAAGACATTTCAGTCAGGAAATTCAGTGGTTTCCAGGTACTCCTAGGTGAACTAATTAATGTCAATCTTTACACAGGACATGGGAAACTCCAAGGACGACTTGAGTTTTGAGCAGTTTCACCAATTCTACAAGAACCTAATGTTTGAAAGCCAGAAAGTAGTAAGTCTATTTTGTCATGGAAGGTTCAAATCTATCAATGTTTCAGTAGCAGAATCTGTGTATGTTACCAGGCCTGTTGTTCGCTTTTGCTTAGAAACTCCTTTTCATGGAAGCGAGACACAACAATTACTGAGAAGACCGCAGACTTCAAGAATTAATGTTTTCAACTCAGTTCAACAAATCTACATCGTTAATGTATCCGGGTTATGTTACAGATTTGGTGCTGCCAGTTGTCACAATGTTTGACTAAAGATCAATGGAAGCCTTGAAGCCTGATTCCCACACAGAACTAATTCTCATCTCCGTTCATTCACTACTACCTAAACCCAAGTTGTCCAAATATTTCTAAAGTAATTGAGCTGCTGTATCCACATTACCATTTTAAATTTTTTTCTGGTTATTAAAATCTAAAGTAGCAAAGAGATGTGCTTGCCAAATCCCTCTCTATCTAATCTATATTGCCTTCTTCAGTGAAGAGCTTGTCATCATCTACACAGATATCATGGGTACCACTTCCAGTTAACAAAGATTGAAATTAGTCAAAACTAACTCAAAATGTTTTAAAGTGGGACTGATAGACAAAATCAAGAGTATGATTTAATTACCTGCCATCCTGTGGAAATCAGTTTAAAACTGGCTAGATTTTGACTTTCTGTGTTGAACAGTAGGACAAAAATTCAGTCAAAGTTGCTGGGGTCTTTTTTAACACTGGGACCTGACTTCAACTTTTACCAGTCTGTTGTCTGAGCAGTGAGGAAGTAACAGTGAGTTTGCCACCAGACTGCCTTATTGAGGAAGCAGATCAAAGCCAGATGAAGCTCAAAAAGTAAGTTTGAAGTTTTTTGTTTGCTTTCCTTGTGGGGCCAGCAGAAACAGCAGTGCTGCTTTGGACCCAGCAAGGAATGCTGAAACCTCCTTCCCTTGAATATTCCCCTGCCACTCTGTGGATTGTCAGGCCCATCCACAGAATGGTACGGTGGCCACTTTGCTACTATTGACCTTCAGGCTGCGGGAGTTTGAACTGTTACCTGCATCAGATGGTTGGGAAGCCAGAATTAGAATATATTATGCCTATTTTATCCTCCAAAAGGACCTGATGCATTGGAACATTGCCACGTTCACTATCTTCACCAAGCACATATCGTCCTGAATTGGGACTATATAACCATTCTTTCACTGTCACTAGCTCAGAATCCTGGAGCTCCCTCCCTTCAAGCATTTTGGATGTCCCTTCACCCCCAAACTGCAGAGGTTCAAGAGGGCAACTCACCACCACCATCCTAAGGCCAATTGGAGATGGCAACATGTGAATTTCTAATGGACACTGCTGCTCCCTCACCTAAAACTGAGCCACAGTTAAAGTTAGGGCCTGAGGTTTAAACTGAGGCCTCCCAGTTAAGAGTCCTTTGTGTCACATTGTGGTTACTGTCCAAGATGACTCCACATGCTGCAGGATTACACAGGTTATTTGAACACTCACTCCCATAAGACTCTGTAACGTGGTCCCCCTCTATAACCCTGTCGTTACTGTTGTGTGCTTTGACTTTATCTTTCCTGCTTTTAACATAATATGCTGGTTAAAACTAAAACTCATCAGTCAAATGTAATTCATTTCCAGATTCTCGAAAGCCTTAAAATCGAGGGATCTGTATGCATCCTTGGGTAAGGATTTTTGTGTTTTAGTTTAATGCTGGGAAAGTGGAGTTTCGCTTTGTTGATCCAAGGTATCTATAGATCACAAGGTTAACACAGATGATGGAGACATTTAACCCATCGATACTAAACGTTGCAGACTTAAGAAATAAAAGCACAGACCCTCAACGCCATCAACTAACTGCACACTGGATCATTTGACTTTGTGACCTGAATCCATATCATTGCCATGAAAATTGCCTTCCTCATCTATCTTCATTCCCTTTCCTCCAGGCCCCTTGTTCTGTTGTCTTGGCATATCTTACTATAACGTCGCAGAGTTTCTGAATCCGTACCATTTAGTATCTTGCATTCTTTTATAGAGACCCCACTCAGTCATTCCCCCTCAGGGAGTCCCCTTACAGCCCCGGAAATTCTGTGTTGATTCTGTCAGACTTCTGACATAACTAAGCAAGAGGCCACTGCACCCTCCAGAGCAGTAATACAAGTATTGAAAAACATTGCACCTCCTTGTGCTGGGGGTCTGCCTATCTACTGCCATTTCACCGAACATTGATTTGCTCGTTTACAGTTCTTATCTAAATGCGTTTTGTTTTCCTTTACAGGATGTTAGCATCACTGGCAGGGCCAGAATTTGTTGCCCATCTCTAACTGCCCTTGAACTGAGGGGTTTGTAAGGGCCATTTCAGAAGCCAGTTAATAGTGACATTGCTTTGGCTCTGGAGCCACATGTAGGCCAGATTGAGTAAAGATGGCAGATTTCCTTCCCTAAAAGACATTAGTGAACAAGATGGTTTTCAATGACAATCTGTGATGGTTCCCATGGTCATCATTACTATTCATTGTTTGCTTCTTTTCACTCACTGTCCTCTCCCTAGCTCAGGTTCCTCAGTGAATCTGAGCTGTTTGTGTTGGAGTTCTAAATCAATCTTGTTAATTTATGATTGGAAGAGTTGAGGGCCCAAGACCATTCCCTGCACATTTAATATTTTAATCACCAGACTTTCACCCTGACATCAGTTCCCTGATAAGTCTTCAATGATTTGTTTCCTTCAACCAATCTTTGTTCTTACCAACTTTTTGACTTGAAATGCCATTAAGGAAAGGAAAGCCTTGTATTTTTAATGTCCTTTTCGCAATCTCAGGACATTAGTTCTTTGCAGCCAATTAGGTATGTGTGAAGTTTGGTCATTGTTGTAAGATAGGAAACTCTTAAACCAATTTGTGCGCGGTCAGGTTCTACAAACAGCACTGTGGTCGTGGCCAAGTGCTCTGTATGAGATGTTAATTCAATGCTAATCAGGATACTAGGGAACACTCCCTAACTGTATAGGTCCAATGAGGCTTAGCACACCATCCAAAAGGTAGCACCTCTGATAGTGGAGCATACCCACAGTGCTGGACAAGATTATCAGTCTAGAGTCTGTATTCAAGTTTCTTGCTGCTCAAAGATATGCTGCCAACTAACACAGAAGGAAAACACTCCATTCCTTAGAATACAAAATTCTTAGGACGAAGGAGTATTGGCTTCCATTGATGAGGTAATGTGGTATCCAGCTCTGTTACTCGAATCACAGATACATTTCATTCTCTAACATTTAGTTTGCTTTCTGCTTGCAGAAGAACTGATAGGGCCACTGCCTCGGTTTTGTACCTGCATGATTTCCAGCGGTTTCTACTCCATGAACAGAAGGTAAAATGACAATGTCTAGATTGGCATGTAAAATACGATCAAATTTGTGCTTGAAAAATAATTTCTATTGCACTTAAGGGTGAGAAAGAATTTCAAAATTAGACTAACATTTTAGCATCAAGAACAATTGATGCAATTGAAAAGAGGTAGCACATGGAGTCTTGTCCATGCCTCGAACTGCTTACACTGGTGGGTACCATCCTGTTCCACTGAAATTTGGGGGAGTGATCACATATGAAAACTCACTGCAACACATACAAAGACTCCCAAAGTGGGTGACCAGTGCTTCTACCTGTAACTGGCAGGCACCTCATATCAATTTGTAAATTGTGGAGTTAACCCACTGGTGAAACAGTGAGTGAAATGCTGAGGGGCTTAATTAGTGCTTCTTGAATAGCTATGCCTTTATCTTTAAGAAGAGATGTTTTATGGCACAGCAGGGGATACAAGAGCTCCTTCTGGCATTAGCTGAGATGATTTGACAGGAGCCCAAACTCTGGATGTGGCCAACTTGGTGTCCAGAATTGGCTCAGAGCAGCTCTCTCTGAGTGGTTCCATCCATCTGCCTTCACCTGTCGGCATTGTTACTCCTTCTTTACTAAAAGGGAGGGCAAAGGCTGACATAGCTGCTCTGGGGCAAATCTTGCAGTATGCGGACTAGGTGAGGGAGGGGTGGTGTGTCCCAGCATGGAATTTATCGAAAGTAGAAAATTGGTAGCCAGCAAATATGGGGAGTTGTCTTCTACTCTTCAAGTTCCTGTTGTGAGTACAGACTGGCAACATTTACTGTAGGTAAATGACTTCCTCCTTTCCAAACCACAGAAGCCAAGCTGACTTTTCCTGAAGATGATAATTAAGGGAAAATAATACAGCTTTCCTATGTTGGGTATTTTCATTTTATGAAAATCATGTCATTGAAGTTTTCTTTCAGCGCAACCTCACATGCATGCTTTCTCTATAATAACAGGAATCATGGGCCAGTGATGTTAAAAAGGTTCGCGAGCTGATGACTAGGTTTATATATGATACTTACAGAGAAACTAATGAACCCTTCTTCTATATCGATGAGGTATGTAACTTTTCATGATGCACAGCAGATTTAATTAGATGTGGTTAAAATTGCCAATCTTTTTAAGTCTTTTCAAATAACTCAAATGTTCTCAGTTTCTATTCGCATCTAATCATATCTAGTGTACTGATTGCCAAAATATCATAACGTTAGGCCTATTCCTTTGCAAATCTTAAAAGTGGCTGAGTGAGTGGGGTGACTTACTTTTTGCAGCTTCCACAGCTGGTATTACAGCTGATACAATAATTCCACAAGAGTCCAGCAGGAATAACTTCTGCTTCCCCACTCTCCTGGTTCCTGAGATCAGTGAAAGCCTCCATCTAGCTGCTTCCCTGAGAATGGCTCATGTTTCATTCAATTTCCTGGGCTATGAGGGATATTGACATTAACATTTCAGGGAGTTCAGAATTATTTTGCTTTGTTTCAAGAATCATAACTGTCCTGAAAGTGGCCTCTCAGTCAGTCACTCTATGTCGTCTGATCTCACTTATTCCCATTTCACTTTACTTTGCTAACACTCATTTTAAGTGTTTCATTTGCTTTTTAAAATCTCTTCAAGATTCAATTGGTGCAACTGTTTATTGTAGAATATTCCACATCTCAATAACCTTCTGTGTTAAGAAGTAGTGATGATCCTTATCCTTATGAGGCTTCAATCCTCGTATTAAAGTTTTCGATGATACTTTTAAATCACCATTTCTGATTAAAAAGCGAATACCTGAAAATTTGGCAGCTCAAAAGTAGAATTGGGTGGAGTATAGGAGAGTCTCCACAGTAAGGGCCAAACGTGACACTTAAACACAGGCTAATCACTGCGGTGATTCCAGTGTGACAGGCTGATGGTGAGAGTCTCCAACAGAAATGTTGCCAAAGGAATGTATAATGGGTCAAAAACATCAGCACAATGAATGGACACAGTGCACAATTGCCAAAAGAACTTGCTAGTAACTCTGCCTCCTGAAGTGATGTGTGAAGAAAAATACTTACATTTCTCTATCTTCTGTCACAAGCCTAGAATAAGCCAAAATACATTGCGGACAATTAATAATTTGGAGGTGGACATCACTGTTGTAATATTAGAAGCACAAAGAGTCTGATTGAAAAATTTTGCTTCTGCACATGACAGTCCTTAATTCAACCCTGTTCACTTTCCAGTTTGGAAATGTTTTCCTAAAGCAAAAACAAAATGCTGCAGAAACTGGAAATCTGAAATAAAAACACATGATGGAAATACTCGGCAGGTCTGGCAGCATCTGTAAAGATAGAAATAGAATAAATGGGCTAATTTCCCTGATGGGGAGCTTGAAAGTGTAAATGGCATTAAAACTAGAGAGTGGTGGTACACCCAAACCCCTTCCTGCCTCAGTCAGAATTAAGCTGTGAACAGGAAGACCCATCATAGAGGCTTTGCCATGCCACCTTTAATGTCCACTTGAGGATCACACCCCACTGCCAGTGTAGGAGGACCTGTGACCATGCGCGATGCGCCAAACTGCGTAGGCTGCTTGGAGGGGGAGAGTCCTCCAATGGGAGGCAACCCAGTCCTTGATCGAGGTGATAGCCCAACCCTCTGCCCTTTCTGCCAAAGTACCTGCCCATCTCTTTTCCCATGATCGTGGGCCATGGTGCTGCTTCTGCTTCCCCCACTGCCTCTCCTCGCTATCCCCAACATGGCCACAGTTGGAGCCTCCGTTATTGGGACCTAATGTACTCCCCAGTTCTGGGCCTCCCATCACCTGTCACTTACCTGTGGCCTGGCTTGCTCAATGGACTCCTGGGACTCTGGGAAGGGGAAGTAGCCAGCAGCAGCTGTAACCTCCTCCCTGGCACTGCAGAGTTGCTGGTCTCTGATAGCCTCTTTCTGGGACCTCTCCCCACCACCCCTTATGCTGTACCCTCCCGAGGTTTTGATGCTGGGGAAACCTCCCTCCTCTCCCCCAGTGTCCTACTGACTGGTTGGCATGTGGTTTGGTGAGGCTTCCCAAAAAGACACATCACATCTGTCAGCTCTAGAGCTGGTGGGCAAGTCATACCCCACACCCAACACATTTCTGCCCAACATTTTGGGGCATTAAACTGAAGCCTTTGTTTTTGTCTCTTTAGATGCTTCCAGGCCCATTGTCTCATTTGTTGGTTTCCTGACCAGTTTTTTCACCCGTTAGCATGGTTTATCAATGATCCATGGGTAGAGTAGGAGGTTTTAGTTCTGGGTGCTGCTTCCGCAGTAGAGGAGGCTCAACCCTAGGGGGAGTTTTATCTTGGGTAGATGTGGAGATTGAGTAAAGAAGATGTTCAACCACTTGGGGATTTGAGTACGAGGAGAGTTTTGATATGGAGGACACTTTAATAAGGGGGATTGCCACCGCTTTTACAGTATCAGAACATATTTTACATTGTTGTATTTTTGACTTATATTCATTGCAGTACAAAACCATTCACCTCTTTCCATAAATTAGGAGTTGTCGGGAAACTTAAGATTTTCTTACTAGATCAAAACAGAAATCTTCAGCGGGCTACAGTTATACAAACGAGATTCCTTTCTGAGGAAGATTGGTGCAAAATGTTGACTTTACAGATGCTGTGTGAGTTCATATAATCTTAAAATCCCTACAGTGTGAAAGCAGGCCATTCAGCCCATTGAGTTTACACCGACCCTCTGAACAGCATCTCACCTAGACCCACCCTCCTAACCTATCTCTGTAACTCTGCGTTTCCCATGGCTAATCCAACTAATCTGCACATCCCTGGACACTATGGGAAATTTAGCATGGCCAATCCATCTAACTTGCATATCTTGGGAATGTGGGAGGAAACCGGAGCACCTGGAGGAAAACCACACAGACACGGGGAAAATGTGCAAACTCCACACAGATAGTCACCCGAGGGTGGAATTGAACCCGGGTCCCTGTTGCTGTGAAGGGCTACTGCTGTATTTTGTTATTCTTTTCACTGGACTTTTCACATGGAGTGCAGTAGTTCAAGAAGGCAGCTCACCACTACCTTCTCATGGGCACCTAGGAGCAGGCAAGAAATGCTGGCCAGCCAGTGACTCCTACGTGAATAAATTTTAAAACATTCACAAAGTCAGCAATGTTTCATGTGACACTGAATCTCGTCACTTTGTTTTATGAATAGCTGAGGAAGCACAGGTTGCAGCAGTAATGTAATAGAGAGGAAAGTGTCGACTGAAGCATTTTCCCTGAATGCCAACTCTCTGCTTCCAGCAGGGGGAGACATAGCAGAAAAGGAAGAATCATCAAAGCAATGTTGTGCAGGGATTCCCAACCTTTTTCTTGTGAGGGCGTCCCCCCATGTTCTACAAATTTTCCTGACCCTCTGCAACTTCCTACGTTCTTTCTCCTGTTTAAAATTTACTCATACAATTAAACAAATAAATATTTTTATTCGTTTTACTGCATTCATTTTATATGAAACTTTCCACCAGTGCTGGGTAACAATTCTGTCAAGATTTGGAGCTCTGAATGTCGAGCTGGGTGGTAAAAGGATTCCTTCTGCTCCATTTACCAAATGCATGACCAAGTTCTGAAATAGATTTCAGATCAGAAGGATCTGTGTCTGGGTAATTTGGAGGGGAGCTGGGTGTAGAATTAATCCCAAATGAGGATTCAAAAGCAGAAATTACTGGAAAAACTCAGCAGATCTGGTGGCATCTGTGGAGAGAAGTCAGAGTTAATGCTTTGGGTCCAGTGACCTTTCTTCTAAATGAGGATTCTTGTGCTAGTATCTTTGAGATAGATCAGACAGCTCCTGTGTCATGGTGGCCAGTGAGTGAACCTGGTGAACAGGTTGAGTGAAAGCGAAGCGAAATGCAGAATCATCAGATCCCTCCAGGAGCTGGGATCAGTAAAGATACTAACATTTACAGCTGGACATTGCAGTGCTGGAGTAGATCAGATGACAGACAACTGAGAGTTCAATTCTTTGAGCTGTGGATGACAAACCCCACGCCTGATGGACAGACAGCATTGACCTGAGTGCAGGAAGTTGATGGAACTAAGGATTACTAGCTGTACACTCTCCTCTTCACACTGGAACCCACGAATTCAGAAAACACCACTGCTGTTGGCCCCTTGTGACCCACCCCACCACACTGAAGGTCGTTTTCCCATCTAATGACTGCAGGGAAAATTCTGAGGCTCAACAGGACAGCTACTGGAGAGATTTTCTAGAAACAGAATCATAAGACTGTAAGATATAGGAATGGAATTAGGCCATTCGGTCCTTCACGTCTGCTCTGCTGTTAGATCATGGCTGATATGTTTCTTAACCCCATTCTTCTGCCTTCTCCCTGCAATCTTTGATCCCCTTACTAATCAATAACCTATCTATCTGTGTTTTAAATACACTCAGTGACTTGGTCCCCACTGCCTTCTGTGGCCATTGGTTCCACGGATCCACCACCCACTGGCTGAAGAAATTCCTCCTCATCTCAGTTCTAAAGGGCAATACCTTCCCTTTGAGGCTGTGCCCTCAGGTCCAGTCTCTCCTACTAGTGGAAACATGTTCTCCACCTATACTGCATCCAGGCCTCTCAGTATTCTACGTTTCAATCACATTCTTCTCTCATTCTACTGAACTCCATCAAGAACAGAACAAGAATCCTCAACCACTCCTCACATGACAAACCCTTAATCCCTGGGATTATCATTTAAACACTGACTCCTGTGGAACTCCACTATTCACTGGCTGCTATTTTGAAACAGACACCTGTATCCTCACACTCTGCCTTCTGCCAGTCAGCAATCCTCGATCCATGCCATCCCCACTGTTCTGCATGCCTAATACGTTGGGTACAATCCAGTGGGACACTTGTTTGAGAATCCATAACAAGCATAACCTTTAATTTTTCATGATACAAGGACAATTTATTTAAGTGCACGGAGCCTTTAAATATTTTTGCACGACCGTACAAACTCAGTAAGGTAAGGGCCATCTTGTGTTCAGCCTGGGCAGGAATTCTTGGGTTCCAGTGTGAAGAGGAGAGTGTACAGTTAGTAATCCTTAGTTCCATCAACTTCCTGCACTCAGGTCAATGCTGTCTGCCCATCAGGCGTGGGGTTTGTTATCCACAGCTCAAAGAATTGAACTCTCAGTTGCCTGTCATCTGATCTACTCCAGCACCACAATGTCCAGTTATAAATGGTTCTGCTAGTATCTTTACTGATCCCAGCTCCTGGAGGGATCTGAGATAACAAGATATAGAGCTGGATGAACACAGCAGGCCAAGCAGCATCAGAGGAGCAGGAAGGCTGACGTTTCGGGCCTGGACCCTTCTTCAGAAAAGGGATCTGATGATTTTTCATTTTGCTTCACTTTCACTCAACCTGTTCCTTTACATGAAAAAAGAGCATTAGTTCTCACATATACACTGATGACACCCAGATCAACCTCACCACCACCTCTCTTGACTCCTACTGAACAAACTGCTTCTCTGACATCCAGTACTGGATGGGCAGAAATTTCCTCCAATGAAATATTGAGAAGACTGAAGACACTACCTTCAGTCCCCAATTCAACCTCAACTGCTTCTCAAACCCTCAAAAACACTCTGCTATGGCTAGAACTGACTATTCCAATTTTCCCCACCCCCACACCTCCCCTCCCACCAATCCCCCCACTCACATGACTTCCTGTTTCTGCCCCCCCATAAACACAAGGTCACCTGTGCCTTAACTCGCAGCAAATTCCATTCACCTATCAACTCATGCTTGCTGGCCTACATTAGCTCCCCATCAAGCAACATTCTGAGATTAAAATCTTCATCTTTATTTCCAAATCTCTCCACCACCTCACTCTTTCCTGTCTTTAAAATTTCTTTCCAGCTCCACAGGGCTCTGGATATTTGCACGTGGCTAATTCTGGCCAAAGAAAAACCCAAAGAACTGCAGATGCTGTAAATCAGAAGCAAAAACAGAAGTTGTTGGAAAAGCTCAGCAGGTCTGGCAGCATGTCTGAAGAGAAATCAGAGTTAACGTTTTGGGTCTGGTGACCCTTCCCTACCTTGAAGAACTTCTGCTCCTGTCTCCCCTTACCTTGAAGAACTTCTGCTCCTGTCTCCAATGGGAGTTCTGAGGAAGGGTCACCAGACCTGAAATGTTAACTCTGATTTTTCTTCAGTAATTCTGGCCACTTGATCATCCCTGATTTTAGTTATTCTGTTGTGGTGGCTGTGCTTTCAGTTGTTTGGGCTCTAACCAGTGAACTTCCTTCCATAGCCCTCGCTTTTGTCCTAAAAGATGTTCCTAAAACCTACAGCTTTCACCAAGCCATTGGTCATACGTCCTCACATCTCTTTATGCAGCTCAGCGTTGAATTTTGATTAATTTTGCTCTTGTGAAGTGCTTTGGGACATTCATTGTGTTAAAAGCGCTACATGAAATAAGTTGTCGTCTTTTTGTCTGTAGCTATCCTGTAGCATCATGACACATTTGATTTACAGTGACTCAAAGGGGCCAAAGGGCATCATAGCAACACTTTTCTTTATATTCAGGAGATAGATCAATTGTATGACAGTGATTTATATCAGCCTGTAGCTGTATATCCTACTGTGGACATTTCACAGTAGATGTAGAAAGTATCAGATGTGACATCCCAAAATAGGATATAAATCGATGAGCTCGAATGAGAATTTTGTCTCCTTTTCCTTATTGATTGGACTCAACAGTATAGGCTGCCACCTGAGGGAATTATATGGTGATTTATATGGCCCCACCATCTCCATGTATGTTGGGTAAGCAACACTGAGGGACTGCGTTGAAATGAATAAACCAGAGCCGGAAACTCATTGAATGTGAGATGTTTATATTTGCAATTCACAGGGAAGCCACTGGGTGGCAGCGCCATCCTGACTCTGAAATACTGTAGTTTTTAGCAGAACCTTTGGAATCTTCTGTGCAGTTTGATTGGGAAGCTCTGATTTTGAGACCTTTACTAGCCCAGACAGGAAATGTTTGATGGAAAAGGAGAGAGACACACAAGAATCATTGAAAATATTGAAAGAAGAATAAACTCAGGAGATGTCAGACAGACATAATTATTAAAAGAACATCTCTAATTACAAACATGCAGTGATGATCATGAATTTAAAATCTTCAGTTCATTGGTACCATAAGTCCCAGTGTAACATTGCAATTATTCACAGGAATATTAACTCCCTCCTTGAGGAAATGGTATCTGAACGTCAACTGGTTTATAGAGGGAGAGTGAAAAATCTGATTGCAGTAAGTTCCTCAGAGGTTCTGCCAATCAGTAACTGTAATTTTGATCAAAGACTTGCAGAACTGGTAACAGAGTTATTTTCTCCTGAAATTGGATCAGTCAATTGGGAGAACCCTGAAGAACATTTTCAGTGACAGTAATGTTTATTATGCTGTGATGAGCTGGAGTTCACACTCAGAGCTCATGAAGACCTTCTTTTCAGATTTAATATGTGAAGGAGCAGTAATTCTGAATTCGTAGGGATGTAAGTGATTCACTGTGGAGAACAGCAACACCTCCATACATCTGGAGATGTACTGTTCAAAGGTCAAATGGTCTAATCTCTGTCACTAACAGAGATTTTAAATGTTAAAAAAGGACCGAATCTGAGTTTGTTTCAGATTTGGTCCTTTTAGAAATGCACAATCAGTGGTTCCAGTCCTTTCTTGGGTTACTGTTTAGTTGGAACATTGCCTTTTTGATTTCCTTTCACAAATTATTTTTCTCCTTTCTCATTGTAAATTGATTCATTCTTTAGATATTTACCGAGCTCGGATGGTATTTAGCGTCTGGCCTTCATTTAGGGAGTGCTGACAACCCCTTTCTAACTGTGTAGAAGCTCCTGAGGCTGACCCTAATTCTGTTGTTCCCTCACATCCACATAATTATAAATTCAAATGGGGGTGACGGGTTCAGTGGAGACGAATCCCCAGCTGATTCTCTCGTCCTGGCCTTATTAAGAATCCTGGACCCAATTCTGTGCCATCTTTCCATGAGGATAGCTAACCTAGCGCAGTTTGGTGATAAAGTATGATCCAATGAAGGTTCCCTATGGTTTTTAAATTGCACCTTCAATCTAGATTGATTTTGCATGCAGGTTAATTTGCGTTATAGCTATTCATTTTATTCATTGTTTTCCAGTTTTTGACCTATTTGTTTTCAAGAGAAAACACCATCTGGGATACCAAGTATGATTCGATTTGTCCCCAGGACATGAACAACCCATTGTCACATTATTGGATCTCATCATCGCATAACACGTAAGCAATTTACCTCCCCTGTTTTTAAAGGTTTTCTTTTATAAGTTGAAGATTAAAGTGTCTTTTCAGTTGTTTGAATTGATAGTGCATGCATTAACAAAGGTCCATTACTGCTCCTTGAAATCTGAATGGACCTCACTGATATCCTTTGACCACAAGGTGCAGAGCATGACTTGAATTTCTAACAAGGTTAGTCATGCTTTTAAAACAATGTGCAGTCTCTTCATTGAAATAATCAGCACTGATCGAAAATAATCAGTTATCACTATTTTTTGAAACATAAATGTATATGTTCTTAAGATTAGGGTGTTTAATCTTCTGGTTACGTGATATAAATGGAATTACTTATCATAAAATGCTGAACAAAGTTATGGCTCAGGTCACCCACAAACAGTTGTTCCTCTATTAATGAAGAATGAAGGAATGTTTGTGATTCTTTTAGTACTGCAGACCAAAACTGCTTGTTATATCAGGGCAGGAGGGGTCAACGGACTGCTTTCTTTTCCCACTATCTGCTTGGTTGTAACAGAGATTTTAAATGTTAAAAAATAAGGATATGATATATTCAATTCAGTATCTACCAGGGTGTGAATAGTCTTGTACAAAGTAAATCAGGTAAGCATTCTCGAGTTAAATGTTTAAGAGTTAATTTTATTCCTAAAATCCACTTCGGTAAAAATATTAAAACATATTAACAATGTACAAATACATCCACCTTCCCGCAAATGCACACATTCCCTGAGCATGTACAACTTTAGAGAGAATTGCATATTAATCTTGACCAAAATAAAATGGTGATGTCAATAAAGATTCGCTGATTGAATCTGGACGTTTGGCTGCAAATGAGGCAGCTGCTTTTCAGTAGTGGCTGGCGTATCTCTCTTTTCCTGGGAATACTGCTGTAGGAAATCCAACAGCTTTTCATAGACCCTCTCAGTTCAGCTGCAAGGTATTGGACACTTTTTCGCAGCAAAACCAAATTCAGGACTTAGAGGGAATGTTCAGAAGAGGGAGGGGCAAAATAAAAGCCACCCTACTGCCGATAGTATCAATCTGTGTCTGATTCGTTTTCAGCATCCACACACAGAGGTGTGTCACATCAATCCAAATGTAATTCAAAAAAAGTCAGTTGTAAGTTCCTCTAGGAAGCTGATTGGCTCATGTCTGGCACAGTTTCTTTTAGTCCTTTTGAGGGAACACAAGTGATTAATTTCTTTCATACGCAGGTAACTAGAATAGATCTGAATGGGTCATCCTTCATTGATGTGTTAGGAAGGAGGTTATCAACACTTCCAAGAAATCCAGTGTCTTTGTTGGGGCTTTCTCGTCTCTGTCCCAGTGAAGTGACACGTAGCGACGCATTAAGGCAAATTACACTCTGCTGTTCTTAAGTGTCAGTCGGTGTTCTCTACAGTAGTTAAAAATTGCCTCTTTACAAAGTCCAGTGCAATGAAGCAGGCAATTAAATTACATTTTAATGTTTCGTATCACACATCTCCATGATAGCCTGTTTCAGTTTCCCAGAATCCTGCTCCCTAGTTCGTCATTTCTTCACAGTGTCCTCCTATAACAATTTGTAATGAAGATGAAAAGCAATCACAGAATTGTTCCAGTCAGAAGGAGGCTATTCGGCCCATTACTTTCACCGGCTCTCCAAGTGAGCATTATGACTCCTGTCTTCTCCCCCGAATGGTTTTTATTCAAATAATTCTCCAATGTCCCCTCAAGAAAAGTCTTGACTGAACCTGTCATCACCAAACTTCCAGGTGCTGAATTCCAGACACCAACTACTCACCGTGTGAAAAATACTTTTTCTCACATTACATTTGCTCTTTTTGTTCAATAAAAACCTCCTTGCTCTTGTACCCTATGCCCTATTAATGAAGCCTAGAAAATCTTATACTTTATTAACTGCTCTGTCTACCTGTCTTGCTGCTTTTGGTGACTCATCCAGGTTTCTCTGCTCCTGCACATCCTTTGGAATATTATCCGTTTAATTTACATTGTCTCTCAACGTTCTTTGTCCTAAAATGCATCACCTCACACTTCTCTGCATTGAAGTTCCTATTTGCTACTGCATGAACTTGTCTATGAGTTTTTGAAGTTCTGCACTGTCCTCCTTATAGCTTACCGTTCTCCAAGCCACAAACTTTCAAATAGTTTCTTGTGCAACAAGATCTAGTTCATTTATATGTATCAACAAAAGCAAGATCCCAATACTGACCTCAGGGAACAAACCTCCTTTCAACCTGTAAAATATCTGTTAGCTATCACTTTCTGTTTACTACCCACAGTCAATTTAATATCCATGTTACTACTTTCCCTTTTATTTCATGAGCTCTAACCTTGCTCACACACCCTATGGTTCAATACTGTGTGACACTGTATCAAACACCTTTTGGAAATCCATGTACACCATTATGATTATTTAAAGGTATTTGTGTGCCTTCCTTTCAATACGTCAATATTGTCAGATATTTAAAACAGTAGATGCCAAAACTTTTACTAAAGTGACTGATTGTCCACAGATACCTCACAGGAGACCAGGTCCGCAGTGATTCATCAACAGAAGCCTATGCCAGGTGCCTAAGAATGGGGTGTCGATGTATTGAGTGTAAGTTGAATGTGTTGGGAAAGAAACCTATCTCCTCCCTTTTGCTTTCCTTCCGGTCCACGTTAAACAACAAAAAGAAATCCACATTCTCCATGTCTTTCAACATTCAAAAGCAAGGGCCCCTACACCTTTCTCCTGCTGGGACCCCATTGCAAAACTGGAAACTTGCCATGACCACTCTCGAGAACAGTAAGAGCCATGGGATTTGTGGGCAGGATGGTTAAAATCTGTAAGAGTGAGTGGAGTGGAGGAGTGCAGTTAAAAGGAGGGGTTGTAGGATGTAGAGGGTACATGGACATTCAAAAGGTGTGTGAAGCCTAGTGTTTTTACCGCTGCAGGGATGACCTCAAGTTCAGTCATTTTCTGCAAGGTTGAACAAAATGCATAGATTTAATGTTGTCCTTCAGCTAGCTGTTCAGTCTTGGGGAGGGGATAGCCTAGTGGTATTACTGCTAGACTATTAAACCAGAAACTCAGCTAATGTTCTGGGAACATGATGGAATCTGAATTCAATAAATAAAATCTGGAATTAAGAGTCCAGTGATAACCATGAAACTGTTGCTGATTGTTAGAGGAAAAACCCATCTGGTTCACTAACGTCCTTTAGGGAAGGAAACTGCCATCCTTACCTGGTCTGGCCTACATGTGACTCCAGACCCACAAGCAATGTGGTTGACTCTTAACTGCCCTCTGGGCAAATAAGGATGGGCAAGAAATGCTAACATTGCCAGTGACGTCCTCATCCCGTGATTGAATTAAAAATCTCTGCCTGAGTCTGTGGCAACCATTACTGTCTTGGTCCTCATGATCCCAAAATGTTGGCTCAGGACTCCACACTCCAACCCACATTGAGAGGCCCTGTTTTAAAGTTCATTTAGAATCACTTCTCTTCTTGACCTCACCTTCACTCAATTTCGCTTTTAGAATGGCATCTCAAAGTAATCATAGAATCCCTACAGTGCAGAAAGAGGCCATTTGGCCCATTCAGCCTGCACTGACCCTCCAAGGAGCATCGCACCAAGACCAAGTCCCCCACCATATCCCATAACCCCACATTTACCATGGCTAATCCACTAAGCCTTCACATCCCTGGTCACTACTGGCATTTAAGCATGGCTAATCCACTTAACCTGTGTAAATTTGGACTGTGGGAGGAACCGGAGGAAACCCCAAGTAGACACGGGGAGAATGTGCAGACTCGACACAGACAGTCACCCGAGGGTGGAATCAAACTCGGCTTTCTGGCACTGAGAGACAGCAGTGCTAACCGCTGAGCCACCCTGCCGCCTAATTACCCAGCTCCTGTCAGATTTTAATTGATATGCTCTTTTCTTTACAATAATGATGCTACATTTACTTTTAAATGTTTAGTGGATTGCTGGGACGGACCAGATGGGAAGCCAATTATTTATCACGGTTGGACACTTACATCCAAAATCAAGTTTGATGATGTTGTTGATGCCATCAAAGCCCACGCCTTTGTTACATCAGAGTAAGTTTTAACTGTGTGCTTTGATTTATATTTTAGCAGCCAGAATATTGTTGCCACTGCAGGGTCTACCAATTCCACATCAGAAAATCAATCCCTTTAACAAACTGAAACATCCATGTAGTGATTGGAACAAGGTCAGGTCGACCTCATAGAATGTGAGTTCCCTGATTGGGGCTGTTAACCGGGTCCAATGAGGGAGCCCTGGCTGACAGATATAAATAGGAGTGTGAGAGGTTCTATTCACTCGCGAGCTGGCTCTGTGGAAGCTGGGTCAGTGTCCATGGGCTTTCATGGAGTTGTTTCAGTCTGTACAATGGAACAACTCTGTAGTAGTAGGGCATACATATGAAATGTTAATCTACAGGGTTTTTCTACTTGTAGGTTCTGTCTGGAAAAAGGAAGACGGGGACCAAAATATTGGTGCCAGCCACTATGCTGTTTTCCCAATCCCATCACTGGCACTGGCCATTTTAGGATCCTGCAGTTTCTTGGTGTGAGGACACTGAGGTAGACACTAGCTGCTGCGGGTTGAGGGGCCAGTAGTCCAGGAAACTTAACAGGCTCCCTCTGCCTGCCTGACAGTGGATGTGGTCCTACAGAGGGATTATTCTGACCTGGCCCCAGCTCACTACCTCTCTCATGCACATCCATTCCCACACAAACACACACTGAGCCTCATATACATCCATT